ATCACTTATTTACAAAATTGTATAACAAAAACTAAGAAAAAAACTTTTTTTTTTTTTCAAAATTTTTCTGTGGTTTTTGGTTTAAGAAAAAATTAAAATCCCAGAGGTGATTAAATACCACCAAAAGAAAACTCTATCTGTCTCAATAAATGATAAAAATTTCATATGGATACAGTGTTGCATGACCGCGCAACTGTCATTCAAAGTGTGACAGCGCTGAAAACTGGAAATTGGCCTGGGCAGGAAGGGGGTGTAAGTGCCCTGTAGGCAAGTGGTTAAACTTGTGCAATAAAGCGCAAAAACGGCTCTGGCAGCGAAGGGGATAAAGGATAAGCATAACATTCCCCTTTCCTAAGGAGCACACAATCATTACACTGCAAGGTCTCTCTCCTCCCTGCTAGTTTTTTTTTTTTTTTTTATCCAGACAAGTAGAATGTCATGACGAACAAGTAGATTGAAACCCCAATTTAGTCCCTGAAGTAGTTTTTTCAAATCTTTCAACACCACTGTATCTAATGCAGCCCAACTGAGGCTGGTGTGAAGGAGCCATAAGACTGAGCTAGACTTAGTGTGTATAAAAGATGTGTCATGAAGGAAAAGATGTCATAAACCAAAAGATACATAGTTCACAGGTCAGTGAACCATAACAGATGACATGATACGACTGAAGCATATTTGTAATCTGATCAGGGTAGTATTATGGCCTGTGTCAGAATGTTGGTAAAAACGTGGATCCCTAGAAAACAGGCTCTCTGGAGAAAATGCGCTACATCAATGTTTCTGTGATATCCATTCAGTCGTATCTAACACTATGAATCTATGTCAAAGCATTTGTATTCCTGTCTACCTTGTCCTGAGCCAGAAAGTGAGTCGGGCTTTCGAACGAGGATATTCGTATGAACATTCGTACAAATATTCTTTGCACATTTCACTTGCTTTTAACATTCAATTTCAGAATGAATATAATTCCCAAACGAAAACCACACACATAATTTGAAATTATCGTATTTTGCGCTCCATAAGACGCACCTAGGTTTTAGAGTCGGAAACAAGAAAAAAAATATTCTGAACCAATGGACTGCGGACACAGTAGGGGATGACCAAGAGACTGCGGACACAGTGCAGGGGATGACCAAGAGACTGCGGACACAGTGCAGGGGATGACCAAGAGACTGCGGACACAGTGCAGGGGATGACCAAGAGACTGCGGACACAGTGCAGGGGATGACCAAGAGACTGCGGACACAGTGCAGGGGATGACAAGAGACTGCGGACACAGTGCAGGGATGGAGATGCGGACACCACCAAGAGACTGCGGACACAGTGCAGGGGATGACCAAGAGACTGCGGACACAGTGCAGGGGATGACCAAGAGACTGCGGACACAGTGCAGGGGATGACCAAGAGACTGCGGACACAGTGCAGGGGATGACCAAGAGACTGCGGACACAGTGCAGGGGATGACCAAGAGACTGCGGACACAGTGCAGGGGATGACCAAGAGACTGCGGACACAGTGCAGGGGATGACCAAGAGACTGCGGACACAGTGCAGGGGGGATGACCAAGAGACTGCGGACACAGTGCAGGGGATGACCAAGAGACTGCGGACACAGTGATGACCAAGAGACTGCAGTGCAGGGATGACCAAGAGACTGCGGACACAGTGCAGGGGGATGACCAAGAGACTGCGGACACAGTGCAGGGGATGACCAAGAGACTGCGGACACAGTGCAGGGGGATGACCAAGAGACTGCGGACACAGTGCAGGGGATGACCAAGAGACTGCGGACACAGTGCAGGGGATGACCAAGAGACTGCGGACACAGTGCAGGGGATGACCAAGAGACTGCGGACACAGTGCAGGGGGGATGACCAAGAGACTGCGGACACAGTGCAGGGGATGACCAAGAGACTGCGGACACAGTGCAGGGGATGACTGCGGACCAGTGCAGACCAAGACTGCGGACACAGTGCAGGGGATGACCAAGAGACTGCGGACACAGTGCAGGGGATGACCAAGAGACTGCGGACACAGTGCAGGGGATGACCAAGAGACTGCGGACACAGTGCAGGGGATGACCAAGAGACTGCGGACACAGTGCAGGGGATGACCAAGAGACTGCGGACACAGTGCAGGGGATGACCAAGAGACTGCGGACACAGTGCAGGGAGATGCGGACACAGTGCAAGAGACTGCGGACACAGTGCAGGGGATGACCAAGAGACTGCGGACACAGTGCAGGGGATGACCAAGAGACTGCGGACACAGTGCAGGGGATGACCAAGAGACTGCGGACACAGTGCAGGGGATGACCAAGAGACTGCGGACACAGTGCAGGGATGACCAAGAGACTGCGGACACAGTGCAGGGGATGACCAAGAGACTGCGGACACAGTGCAGGGGATGACCAAGAGACTGCGGACACAGTGCAGGGGATGACCAAGAGACTGCGGACACAGTGCAGGGGATGACCAAGACTGCGGACTGCAAGGGGACACAGTGCAGTGGGGATGACCAAGAGACTGCGGACACAGTGCAGGGGATGACCAAGAGACTGCGGACACAGTGCAGGGGATGACCAAGAGACTGCGGACACAGTGCAGGGGATGACCAAGAGACTGCGGACACCGTGCAGGGGATGACCAAGAGACTGCGGACACCGTGCAGGGGATGACCAAGAGACTGCGGACACCGTGGGGGAGCAGGGTACCTGAATTTGACAGCTACCTGCTCCCACTTCTGCGGAGTTGTCCTCCCTTTAGTGTGGACACCCGGGGGGGGTGGGGGGTGACGGTGTTTTTCTTTTTTTTCTTTTTTTTTTTTTTAGTTTTTCATTTTTTTTTTTTTTTTTTTTTCTATTTTTTTTTTTTTTGCTATTTGATCACTTTTAATGCTATCAAAGGGAATGCAAATATCCCCTATAACTTCAATGGGCATTGTCATTGTAACGGAAGCGTAGGCAGGACAGAACACACAAAGCTTTATTGAACTATGAAAGACACTCAATCAGGACAGTTCATGGCACACCGAGACATGCGGCCTGTAGGGACACCCACGGTAAGCGGGCTCACGGGGACTCGCTGGGACCTTGGCTGTGGAGTCTCGTCTCAACACAGCTCCCACAAAGCTTACTAGGGACAACATCAGGCACACAGGGACTCAGCGGGACCTTGGCTGTGGAGTCTCGTCTCAAAACAGCTCCCACAAAGCTTACTAGGGACAACATCAGGCACACGGGGACTCAGTGGGACCTTGGCTGTGGAGTCTCGTCTTAACACAGCTCCCACACAGTTTACTAGGGACACTCACGATAGGCGTCTTGCAGATGCACAGCAGCAGGCGGCTTCCAGGGGAGTAGGCGACGTGCAGACGCTCAGCAGGAGGCAGCTTCCAGGGACAAAGCGGTCAGCAGACAGGGTGGCTTCCCAGGGACCCTCACCAATGGACAGCGGCCAGTTTTTCAGGGACAGCAGCGATTAGCAGGCAGGGGCCCTTACAGTGGCCAGCTTTTCCAGGGACAGCAGCGGGAGTCCTGGCTGTGGGATCTGACCTTTTGAGGAGGGAGGCTCCTGCAGAGTGCTCAGCTGGGATGGCTGCGGAGGCCCGGTCCCCACCCGGACCTCCCACGACAGCGGTGGTGGCAGGCCAAGAGAGAGCTGCCAGACAGCGCAGGAGGAAGAGACCGGCCAGCTCCCGCGCCTGCCTTTTAAACCGCCCAGGACGCTTCCGGGTTGCCCCCTTGACTCTGGCCGCTCTTCTCGTGAGTGCGGCCTTTGCCACTGGTGGGCACAGAGCGCGGGAAGCCCCCTGTGCCCAAGCTGTGTCCATGCAGGGAAATCTCGGCGGTCTGCCATTGGGGTCCCCTGGCAGGGGGTCACAGCTACTCCGCCTAGAATGCAGGACGAGCTGTGATCCTCACCGCAGGGGTCCCCTCCCCCCATCCTGCACAGCCTGGCTTCAGAGGCTGTGTGCAGGATGAGGACACGGCAAGGGGGGCAAGGGGGGAGGGTGAAGGCACACCGTGACAGTCATATATTCTTTTTTTAGAGAAATCTGGGGTCTATCACTCCTCTGTCCTAACATTATCTAATCTCACCAAGATCAGTGTGATAAGATGCTTTCCCAATTTACAAATGGCGCTGTTTTATATCCTGCGAAACTCAAGTGATTGAAATGCTTGTAGCTTCCGATTTCTTAGACTATAAAAATGATTGGCACTATTCCATTCTCCAGTCAGCTCTATGGTCAGCTGGCAGAAACCGCCTGCATTCTCAGGTTCCCCCAATGGCACGGGACTGCCCGAGAAGGCCATGGAAGGCAGCGGGGAAGGGAGGGCATAGTCTCCCGCTGCTTGTAAAAGCAATCCTGCAGCTAATTAGCCACTAGGATTGCTTTTACATGAAAGCCAATCGTCGGCTGAAAAAAAACAATACCAGGATGATGCCTGCAGCTGTGGGCATCAATCCTGGTATGACCATTCAAAGTCCAGTGATGTACCAGTATGTCGCTGGTTTTGGTTGGCTATATATGCTATGTTTTTTTTTTTTTTTTTTTTTAGCAGCCTGTAGGCTGAATGGAAAAAAAAAGAAAATAAATTTCTGCCAGAAAAAGTGTGTGGTATACCCATCATTAAAATATACTGCCCTGCATCCACCCACTTCTAATGGTGGGCACACATTAGGTCGTACGGTGCCACATGCGCCAATTCCAAGATCGTACAAATATCTAAATAGTGGCACGCTTGAATAAAAGTTGTCCACGTATAGGTGGTACCCCATATGGAAAAAGGATGACACCAAGTCCCAAACTATCTTGCCACTGCTCCCTATGTAGTCCAGGCATCCTGGGGGCTCCATTTGATTGTCTTTTATAGGGCGGTCCTTAAGCGGTTAAAATAATGAACATTGTGTTTACTTTTTGCAGTGACCCATGATTTCTGCTTTGCGGTAGAGTGCATGTTTACATTTTGCTCCTTGTGTTTTCCCAGATATTGCAACCATGGCTGACTCGGTTCCTAACAGTCCTCCCCAAGGAGGGGCAGTGGTAAGTAGTGTATTTTGCAGATTGCCAATCCTTAGATGTGGTGGCTGCATTAGTCTTTTTTTCTATAGGCTTTTTTCCTTTTTTTCTCTTGTGATCCTTCCGGTAACACACTTGTCCTAGGGTGACACTCACTTGACTATAAAACTCACTTGCTATACTGTATCTATGAAGGGGCACCTATCACCTTAGGACAGGAATTGTCCTAAGGGCTACAGAACACCTCCCAATCTCCATAACAGAAAAGTGTTCTATAGTTCAGGAGATCACAGGAATAGATGAGTTCACTGGGTTTCTGATAGGATCAGCAGGTATTTTTTTTGCATTTATTTAACAGATATATGAAAACACTTTCAATGGTGCATTTAAAAACACCAAAAGAGCAAAGAAAGAAGTTGGTTATTATTATTATTATACAGGATTTATATAGCGCCAACAGTTAGCACAGCGCTTTACAAAATGAAGATAGACTTTACAGTTACAATACAATTTGGTACAAGAGGAAACAGAGGACCCTGATCGCTGGAGCTTACAATCTAGAATATTATAAAAGTGTTCTTAAACCCAGGACCCTGTATTCACTGTCTGGTTTCCCACAGTACACAGAAATGGAATTATTTTAGTAAATATACCCTGCTTAATACCTTTTCTCATCAGCAGTTAGAGCAGTCTTTTGACTTCTCAGTGTCCATCCGAGCACTGCTTAAAGCTTGTAAGAGTTTTCATTCTGCTCTAGAAGGATACAGAACCCCTGACCTCTGTCTGGACAGTGCCGATTGGCCCTGTGCTGATCACATGCACTCTCCCAAGGAAAAAAAAAAGCCTCTCTAGCAATACACACCAAACAGAGCATGTGTAGAGTGACTCCACACGATCCTATCAGGAGATAAGAGGGGGACACTGGAAGAAGGGGAGGATCAGAAAAGACAACAGGAAACAAACAGCCTTTTTACACAATACAGAGGATTAACCCCTCAGGTTCCACAGTGAGTATAACAAACATGCTTTACTGCATATACAGACTGATTTTACTGTTGTGGGATTAGTAACACTTTAAGATTTACATAAATTGTAAATCAGTGTTTCCCATTTTGGTACGAATTTCATTCATGGATTGGAATTCCTGCATATTGGATGTTTCCCAGTATTATTTGCAGACGCATTTAGCCTTTGAAGTCTGCAGATAAATTCCAAACAGTGGTTTATAACCTGAACCATTTCTTAGGAAGGTCTCAACATTTCATAGTCATGTTTGTTATGGATTGGTATATCCGTGGAAGAATTTCAATTCTATCAGCTGCATGATAAAAACTGTTGTCAAGAGATAGTTAGTGCCATTATTGGGTGCCAAACAGATGCTGTCACTAATAACTGTGTAATTATTATTATTATTATACAGTATTTTATATAGCGCCAACAGTTCACTCAGCGCTGTACATTACAATGGGAGACAATACATGAGACAGTTCAAAAACAATAAAATGCGATACACGAGGGGTTCGAGGGCCCTGCTCCTTGGAGCTTACAATCTAGGAGATTGATGAGAGTGTAATATTTGTACTGTTTTCATACAAAGTGTACTAATTGTGTTTTCTGTCTTTTTTTTTTTTTTTTTCCTGTAGCAATTTATGCTGGCAAATAAACTTGACACTGCAATGTGGCTTTCTCGATGGTTCACGGTATACTGTTCAGCATTATTTATTCTTCCTCTTTTAGGGTAAGCAATCACCTTTTGGTCCCGGTATAATGCTTACAATTAAACAGGGCTAGAATCTAGAACTAGAGTTTATAATAGGCTTAAATCCCTTTGCTTTATATGGGGAGATAAAAAAACAAGAATCAACAGACTGACACTAAAGGCGTCTAAACATTGAGGGAGATTGGGGCTCCCTAATCATTTGGTTTTTAACCAAGTGGTGCAAATAGCTCCATTAGCATAAGCTAGCATGATAGAACCTAACCCTCAATGGGTTGACGTGGAAGCACAATCAGGCCCAACAGGGCTCTATTAGAGCCCTGATGTGGATCCTGAGCAAATTGCACCTACCCATTATATGTCCTACTCTATCTTACAAGTTCGTTGTTTGGGAGAGGCAGAGGGCTAGAAAACAACTTCCTGTCTTCCATGTCCTTCTTGCTCCCTTATTAACCACTTTCCCTCCTGAGGATTTACCCCCCTTCCTGACCAGGCCATTTTATGCGTTACTGTGCTGCGTTACCTTAACTGACAATTGCGCGGTCATGCAACGCTGAACCAAAATGAAATTTACGTCCTTTTTTTCCCCACAAATTGAGCTTTCTTTCAGTGGTATTTGATCGCATGTGGTTTTTTTTATTTTTTGCGTTATAAAAAAACTGACCATTTTGAGAAAAAAAACTATATTTTTAACTTTTTGCTATTTCAACATGTCCAGTAAAAAATTTAAAAAATCAAATTCCGTCTTAAATTTAGGCCAAAATGTATTCTGCTGCATGTTTTTGCTAAAAAAAAATCCCAATACGTGTAAATTAATTGGTTTACGTGAAAGTTGTAGAATTTACAAATGGCAGTATATATACGGGAATGTATTATTTTTTTTTTTGTACTAGTGGTGGCGAGCAGCGACTTATAGCGGGACTGCGGCAGTTATTCTGACACTGGAGGGCACTGACTTGGTGTCACTGACAACCCCAGTGACACCAATACAGTGATTAATTGCAAAAAAAAAAAAGCACTGACACTGTACTAATGGCACTGGGCAGGAAGGGGTTAACATGAGAGGCAGTCAAAGGGTTAACTGTGTGCTGGGAGTGTTTTTGCTAGGGGGCTGTGTCAGTGTGCTTCACTGTAAGCACACCGCTCTGGATGGATGTGCTCAGTGTGTCAGAGCCGACAGGGAGGAGGACTGTTAGTGAACAAAGCAGCCCTCCTCCTCGTCGGAGATCCTTGGTAATCACTGTGCGCCGGCGGGGAATCACCGGCCGGGCCCCAGTGACTGATGGCTGCGCGCGTAGGGCTCGCGCGCCCCCTACCTGGAAATGCAAAATTATGTGTGTATATGTGTATATATATATATATGTGTGTATATATATATATATATATGTATATATATGTATATATATGTATATATGTATATGTATATATGTATATATGTATATGTATATATATGTATATGTATATGTATATGTATATGTATATATATATATATATATATATATATATATATATATATATATAGTGATTTTGATTTGCGCAGTATAACTGCTATAGGACGGCGGGGAAGCAGTTAAATTCTGACTTTCCTCCAGAACTACAACCTCACCTATTTAAATGGAGGAACACTCTTTGAAGTTTCTTGTAAAACCAGAAATTTCACAGAGGGCCATATTTCTATACTTTAGAATCCATTAACCACTTAAAGTCCAGACACTTTCCCCCCAGGCCAATGTTGAGCTTTCAGTGCTATCATACTTTAAATGACAATTGTGCGGTCATGCAGCACTGTACCCATATGAATTTTTTAGCATTTTTTTCAGACGTATAAAACTTTATTTTGGTGGTATTTATTCACCACTGGGATTTTAATTTTTTTTCTATATAAATGAAAAAGTCCAACAATTTTGAACAAAAAGTTTTTCTTATAAAATTTTGCAAATAATCTTTCTTCATAAATCTTGGCCAAAATGTATTCATCTATCGTTTTTAGTAAAAAAAAAAAAAAAACCCCAAATTGGTTTATAACCAAAAATTAAAATTTTTCAAAAAAAATTTTTACATTTTTATTTTATTTGTTTATATTATTATTTGTTTTTTTTTTTAACATACTGTCATCCTAGCAGTGGGGGTGATGAACATTTATTTTCTTTTTTTACACTGATTGCTTTTACACCCATAAAGGCTGTAAAAGCAATCATTTCTCCTCTCTGGCTGCATTGCTGCAGGCAGTGAGAAATACCGTGCAAGCGGTTTTTGGTCACAGCTTGTAACATGGTACAAGGCTGTTGTGAGTACCATGTGACCTCTGTGATCATTCACAGATTTCACAAGTAATGAGCAATGTCAGGAAGTGACATCTTGTTTACTATTATTCATGTGATCACTGATTGGCCAATCGGTGATCACATGAATCGGGACCTCACACACAGTTCCCATACAGCGATCTGTGTTCCGCTGTGTCCTCCGGACACAGCGGGCACCGATCGCAGTGCAGCGTACTCCCAGTGAGCTCGCACAGGCAATGGATGTGAGGGGAGATTTAGAAACGTCCACTCGCATCGGCAGCGCTCCTGTCCGGCCGTTTATCGACATGGGCCGGACAGGAAGCGGTTAAGGAACACAACCCATACATTTCCTTTTATGGAACTATGGGAGCGTTGTCTTGTGATGTTAGATCTTTCAGAATGGCATGGTATAGCTAATAATTAATCTAAAATATCCATTAATACAACCCTGGTTGAATCTTGACTGTGAAACTTTGCTTAGATGGTACATGGTCCCCATCAGGGTAGCCAGGGTGGGCCCTGCAAGCGGTTTCCAACAACGTGGCCAGGTAGGCACTATGTTTTAGTTTTGGTGGCAGTGCCCTAAGGTGACTAGATTTTGGATTAGACTTTTCAACCTGATCTGCTTGATTATGCGGGAGGGGTGAACATACCCCCCTGTAACCTGAACATACCTATAACCCCTGAAATTGCCCTCTTTTTCAAAAAATAGATATTGAGGGGGTTGAGTCTTCTAAACATTTGAGGCAGGTGGTCCACAACATAATCCTTGCAGGTAAAATTGCGATTGCATGGAGCTGAAACCAGTCTGTGGTGATCTTGGACTATGCCAAACAAAAACTGAACTGTATAATGATTAACCACTTGACCTCCAGAAGGTTTTACCTCCTTCATGGCCAGCACTGCACTACTTTAATTGGCAATTGCTCGTCATTGTATGCAAATGAAATTTTATATCATTTTTTTCACACAAATAGAGCTTTCATTGTTGGTATTTGATCACCACTGTTTTTTTTTTTTATTTTCTGTTACATAAATGAAAGAAAATTTTGGAAAAAAACCCAACCTAATACTGTCTGTTAAACATATCCAATTAAAAAAAACAACAAATAATTTATTCTTAAATTTAGACCAACATGTATCATGCTACTTGGTTAAAAAAAAAAAAAAAGTAGTGTATATTAATTTGCTTTGTGTGAAAGTTATAGTGTCTACAAACAATGGTATATATACTGGAAATTCCGCAGTTATGATGCCATACTGGTAATGGTAGCGATCAGCGACTTATAGTGGGACTGTGATAGTGTGGCCACAAATCCGGAAGGACGTCGATCATGTATACAGGTGCATCTCAATAAATTAGAATATCACCAAAAAGTTAATTTCTCCAGTAATTCAATTCAATGATCTATTTCAAGCATTTCTTTCTTTTAATTTTGATGACTATGGCTTACAGCTAGTGAAAACTCAAAATTCTGTTTTTAATTAGTAGTGACAAGATACAAGTAAAACAATGGGGTCCCTCGCAGGGGACCCTTGTAGAAACAAAAGAGATTAAAACAAATAGGCAAACAAACTAGCCCATCACAAAAAAATTCTTCATGAAGGAGTAAGAGCATGCAACGGATGACGCCTGGAGCATCAGTGTGTATTAGAGGGCTTAATAAAATTGAGGAGGGGGTAAGGAGAAGCAGCAGCGAGAAAAGAATAGGTAGAGAGAAAGAAGAGAGAAACCAAGTCAGATGGAGGAGAGAAAAAGTGCCTGTGAGCAGGAGCTTCCCCTAGTGGACTGGGATACCCAGACTTGATGAGGGTGGAGTGGGGAGTGCGTAAGACCACCACAGGTTCCATATTTTGAGAAATTTGAAGTGGGAGTCATGGAGTATGCTTGACATTTTCTTATGGACCATGAGGGTTGTCAAGATGTTCCTCACTTCGGCAAAGTTGACAGTGGGCTTCTTCCAAGCCCTAGTGATGGCGCGTTTTGCTGCTATGAAGAGGTATGTGGCCAGTTTTTACTGATGGGTCAAAATATCAGGAAGTGGGCAAAGAAGTGGTGCATGTCAGGGTCTCTGCGGAAGGAAGTATGAACTAGGGTTGAGAGGAGGTCATAGACCCGGGACCAGAAGCCCACCAGACGAGGGCAGGACCACGATATATGGATCTCATCTCCACTTAGGCTACAGCCTCGAAAACATCTATCACCACGTAACAGGTTTGAATGTGCAATGCGAGCCAGGACCCAGTACCATCAGAGATTTGAGCCACCAGATAGTATTTGGCTACATTCGGGACCCCAAGACCCACTCTCAATCTGTATGGGCCACCCTGGGGTGTTTGTTGGCCAAAATGAAGGCCAGGACCTTATTTTGGAGGGGTCGCACGAAGAAGGTTGGGACTGTGATTAGGAGGGTCCGAAAAAAGTAGAGGAGTTTAGGGAGCACAGTCATCTTGATCTCGTTGATCCACCCTATCCATGACAGAGAGGGGAAATGCGAAGAATTCAAGAGGGAGGAGAGAGTGCACAGAAGAGGATAATAATTGGCCGCAAAGAGGGAGGAGTAGGAAGAGGTTAGGAAAATGCCAAGGTAGTTTAGGGAAGAGGTTGCGCAGTGATAAGGAAAGGAAGATTGGAGGCCCGAGATGGCCGCGAATCGGGAGAGTAAGGAGTGTAGATTAGGAAGTGTGGTGATAGGGTCAGGAGGGGATCATCTGTAAACAGATTGACTTTGTAGA